AGGCCTACCCTAAAATTAAGGAACGCTCGACCTCGACACGTGATATCGAATTTGGCGAAATCGCCTCTTGATATCGCTAACTATCCTGAATCCTGTATCAGTGCTCCAGCACGGCAGTTTGCCAGATATAACGTTTGATTTCACCTTGTTGTGAATGATGATGTATTCGTGCTAGATCCGAATCTTCCATTTGCTAGTAATGTAATTTATTAATCCCAAGTTTAAGGAATGAATTGACTGAAATGGCTGCTTGTGGTGGCCGATCGACAGAGCTTTTGACAGACTTCTTGAGAACGTCACTGCACTGGTCAGCGGTGCTTTCGGAGCGCCGAGGCAGGAATGGCGGGCTCAGGATTCCTGCCTTATAAATAACAGGCTCAAGTCGGCCTTTGGCACTAAACTGCAGGATCCTTAGTCGAAGATCGAACTTAGGCCTATTGTTGTGTGGAGGATGTCGGTGTGGTTCGATGTGTTACCACTCGCCCCTTTCCGTGTCAGTTCTGTCGTATCTATCCACGTCCGGTTGTGCTTGCACTCAAACTCAAGGTGCAACGTTAGGCCTAACGTGACGGTAGTTTCATGCTTCTGGCAAGAATAGAATTTGTATTTGGATGGGTAGACCTATCATGTCAGTGCTTGACCTTGGGGCTCAGGGCCCCTTCCCAAACCTGGAGTGGAGGTTCTTGGTCTTAAGGTAGGCCTAGTAACTGTCATTTTCTGACACATTTGCAACAGGTTTTTATGAAGTTCCTATCTCTGTTAGTCTCAAATTTTGAAATTTAATGACAAATGATTTCATTGGTGTGGTAAAACATCTTTCCGTGATTATTCTGATGGTCACCAGTTGCAATAGCTCTTGGGAAAGGTTCAACACTAATAGGCATTGCAACTTTATTCACAACTCATATTAGTACTAGTTGTTAAGTTACAATATAAATAACCATTCATGAAAGAGCCTTCAATCTTTTCTGTTAATATTCAGATGTTTGCTTATGAAAGTTAGTGAGAAATGTATAATCACTGCTAAAGTAGTATTAAGAGTATAGGAAGGATAGGAAAGTGGGTTGTGAATTTGACCTAAGGATGGTATTATATATATAGAGTGGTGTGAGAAATGCTGCATGTCTTTCCCTCCTCTTCTACATCTCTTATTTTCTTTCAGGTGAATTTCTAGATGTAGGTGAAGTATAAACCTGAGTTGAAGGCCTTTATACTATAATTAACATGAATGCAACATGTGTCCAGAAGTGGAATCTGGAGGACTGGTACATCTCTAACTTGGATCTGTGAGAGTCTTCATACTTTTCTCGTATGAGGCGTGAATTTTTGGAATTCTTAATATGGAAATGACATGATTATTTAAATCTATTTTAAAATCAGTTTATTTTGGTGAAAATCAGTAATATTTGGTTAGCTGCAACAGCTCCCACTGGATTTAGACTTTGAGTAACTGTTTCAAATAACTCAATGCCAAAATAGCTCACTGTATAAAGAATGTTTGGACAGTGTCTTTCTTGAAATCACAGGTTATACTATGCTGAAAGCATCCCTGAGTTAGAAACAACACAGATCTGAATGAGAAAAAAGGGAAAGGCAGCAGTGAACTGCAGCTTTTGATGTACTGTATTGATGTATTTAAATTGTTTTACAGAAACAAGAGTGGAAAAGGAAATGAAATGAATTTTGCATTGACAGGAAGTGCAGAGAAGTTTGAGATGGAGGCTTTGGATCTTGTTCCATGGTGTGTTTGTGGTCTCAGAGGCATCATGACCCCAGCATTACCTGGAGGAGTTCCAAGATGAACGAAGATGACTGGGCATGATTATACCCACTCCTTTACCTGACCTAGACCTTTGGTAGCTACAACAAGGTGTTTCAGGGGGTTCATGAGAACATCCACATCATCAAGTTCAAGGATCCCTACATGGTAGTTATGAGCCCATGCTTTTTAGTGCATGGTGATATCTTCTTTCCATTGCATTCAGTTCTAGTTCTGGTGTCCAGCCCGATGTTCTCCTTGATCCCTTTCTCATTTTCACTTTTTATAACCTGGTGCATTTCTGGTCGATGTCTTTCATATTAGCTAGTGGTGATTATCATTGTGAATAATATTGGTGTATGATGTCTTAAAAAAGTTATTGGTCAGATACCGTTTTTTTTATGTAGTTCACCTCTATTGGTTTTCCTTGCCTCATTCTTGGCTCGGAACACGTTTAGAATCCATTCCCACCCCAGATTTTTTCAAGACCACCTGAGACTGATGCATAATTTCCTTCTGTAACGATTGGTGCTCAAGAAAGATAAGCGCATCACTTGATTAGCACATTTTGTGGCATTCCATGGTTTTACATTATTCTCTATGGAAAATACGGAAAATGGGGGCAGCCATGTCGAATGGAGGCCGAGAACGCCCATTTTCGTTGGAACAGTAAAAACCATTGATGCCTGTATTCTCACGCTGGACAATGCTAATCAAGCGAAGCGCTCCTATTTCTCAAGCACCAACAGCCTCAGAGAAACATTATACATCAATCTCAAGTGGTCTTGAAAATATCAATAATTTCATAATCACTTTGGAGCTAGAGACTCAGTCAGGAAGGCCATGAAATGTGCTAGCAGACGCAGGGACATGGGCGGAGCGTGTAACATGGCCACTCGGGGTTGCCAAGGCCCAAAATATGTGACGAGTTTCTAGCGTTTCCTGGGCGAAACACCGTCCATGCGCCGTCAAGAGAAATATATTCCCAATATATCCATATAGATATAAGTATGATACTAATACTTATTTGCTCCCAAGGGCGTGGGAACATATTCTAAAGTTAAGCCCTTGGCTCTTTGCTTTTTTGAGAGTGAGTTATGTTGGACTGAATTTTTAATGGAAAATTTTAAATTTTAAATTGAACAATTTTATATTCTTCAAGCCTCAATTTGATTTTTTAAAGGTAAATTTTCAGTTTTCAGTAATATTTGGACTCTGGCTTATGTGATCTACAATGGGATGACCATGTATGGCTTATTTATACAAGCTAGACTTAGTTGTCTTTTTCCACATTGGTCACCTGTAACTGTTATTGATGCTGGTACTGAGATCATATTCATGCTGTTAAAAATTATTTTATAAAAAATAATAGGGTTTGTTTGTATGAACATAAAACAGTTTTTGACTTGTTTGAGACATGCCTGTTTTCTTATTACTCACTTGGGATCAAAAGCTGGGGAAAATCCAAGTATGATATTGCTTATAAACTTCATACTAACTGCTCAAATGTGAGTGACACATTCCTCCTTAATCAGGAATATATTTAAAGCATCTGTGAAACAATTCAAGGAGCAAATTTAACTAGCATATTACATTTTTAAATTCTACATTAACTTCAGTAGTGTGAGCTTTATATTGCTTCTATTATATGCTTAGAGATGTTTATGTTATTTTACACATTCCCTCCCGCAGAGCTGTTTTCTTTCACATCTTTCGTGACTCCCCAGAAAACTAATATGTTTTGATGCATGTTATACTTAAAAGTTAAAAAAAAAATTAATGAAGTTTGTTGTGCCAATTCTCTTTGTTCACTCTGCAAAGATTAATAGTCATCTTAGTTATACTGTTCTGCCAATAGATGGCATAATACCCTCTGAAATAATTTTTTTTTCAGAATGGATTTTTCTGCTTATATTTACATTCATAGTGTTATCCAAAGATGACTGTTTCTAGATGAAGGAAAACACACAAGGACTGTAAAATCAAAGAAATTATTGCTAATAGTGATTGTGATGTGAATATTGACTTGAAAACAGAATTTTTGGTGTTATAATGTGTATGTATCACAAGTAGTTCATGAGATATTTTATTATTATTATTATAAAACCATGTTTTCTTGTGAAAATGGTCATGATTCAGTTGTGGGCTAGTGAATGAGACACAGGGAGAAAATGTGTTAAAATTAACAGGAGAGTTTGAATCCTTTCTTTCTTTCCTATTTATGGATAGTCATTTCAATGGTGTTTTTTTCCTGCGGTAATTTGGAAAAGGTTTCTGGGGTAGTTATGAAATACATGGAATGTCTCATAGATATCAACTGAAGAGGAAGATATCCTGTGTTAAATTGCAAGGTTCCATCTATAATGAAAAAATGAGAGGTGAATCTTCAAATAGGTGCATGATTGGAAATGCAGTGAGAGAAAGTTACGAAACAAAGTATGGGACATGGATTTCCTTCAAGCAAGTTATCTATTAACCTGTTTAAAAGGAGTAATATCATACATATTTTTTATACAAATAATAGAGACATGAATGCATTATTTCTATGATTTTATGGTTTCCTGTGGAAAGGAGGCCTAATATGTGAATTAGGAAACAAAGGAGGGAAGATATATCCTACAGCTGTTCCTCTCCTTATCAGATTGCATCATTGCATAGCCTGCAGGAGGACAGGGTGATTCTTGGACAAATTCATAAAAGTACTTGATAGGGAAATGTGAACTACGGTAACATTTGAGGTGGGTTATAGTGGTGTGATGAGTGGGTGTTGCATTGGTGGTTTTGGGTCCTGCTGCTTTATCATCCACAACAGCAAGCAGGACTTGAGACTCGTAACTCATCTTTGGCTGTGATTCCTCACTAACAGATTGCTTGCATTTCTCATCTTTTAGGAAGCAGAAAGGGGATCCAGACAGCTCACACCAGAATATGCTTCCGTATTGTTTGCCGGTTATTTCTTTCCTCCAATCTGAGGAGGATGAAGCCCGAGGATGAAGGTTATGGTCTCACCTATTTCCTGCCTGACTACTTGTATGGGTTTCCTCAGTGAATGTTGTACTTATCCTCTTCCATGGAATGTATTGTGATATTTTGCTAAGTTTATGCATGTAGTTTGTAAAACGTGCCATGAGAGTCGGGTCAGTCCGCAGGAGGACCGACCTCGACCCGAGTAGAGTGCGCATGCCCAGGAAGGCCATGAAATGTGCTAGCAGACGCAGGGGCATGGGCGGAGCGTGTAACATGGCCGCTCGGGGTTGCCAAGGCCCAATATATGTGACAAGTTTCTAGCGTTTCCTGGGCGAAACACCATCCATGCGCTGTCAAGAGAAATATATTCCCAATATATCCATATAGATATACATATGATACTAATACTTATTTGCTCCCAAGGGTGTGGGAACGTATTCTAAAGTTAAGCCCTTGGCTCTTTGCTTTTTTGAGAGTGAGTTATGTTGGACTGAATTTTTAATGGAAAATTTTCAATTTTAAATTGAACAATTTGATATTCTTCAAGCCTCAATTTGATTTTTTAAAGGTAAATTTTCAGTTTTCAGTAATATTTGGCTCTGGCTTATGTGATCTACAATGGGATGACCATGTATGGCTTATTTATACAAGATAGACTTAGTTGTCTTTTTCCACATTGGTCACCTGTAACTGTTATTGATGCTGGTACTGAGATCATATTCATGCTGTTAAAAATTATTTTATAAAAAAGAATAGGGTTTGTTTGTATGAACATAAAGTTTTTGACTTGTTTGAGACATGCCTGTTTTCTTATTACTCACTTGGGATCAAAAGCTGGGGAAAATCCAAGTACGATATTGCTTATAAACTTCATACTAACAACTCATGTGAGTGACACATTCCTCCTTAATCAGGAATATATTTAAAGCATCTGTGAAACAATTCAAGGAGCAAATTTAACTAGCATATTGCATTTTTAAATTCTACAGTAGTGTGAGCTTTATATTGCTTCTATTATATGCTTAGAGATGTTTATGTTATTTTACACATTCCCTCCCGCAGAGCTGTTTTCTTTCACATCTTTCGTGACTCCCCAGAAAACTAACATGTTTTGATGCATGTTATACTTAAAAGTTAAAAAAAAAATTATTAATGAAGTTTGTTGTGCCAATTCTCTTTGTTCACTCTGTAAAAATTAATAGTAATCTTAGTTATACTGTTCTGCCAATAGATGGCATAATACCCTCTGAAATAATTTTTTTTTTCAGAATGGATTTTTCTGCGTATATTTACATTCATAGTGTTATCCAAAGATGGCTGTTTCTAGATGAAGGAAAACACACAAGGACTGTAAAATCAAAGAAATTATTGCTAATAGTGATTGTGATGTGAACATTGACTTGAAAACAGAATTTTTGGTGTTATAATGTGTATGTATCACAAGTAGTTCATGAGATATTTTATTATTATTATTATTATTATAAAACCATGTTTTCTTGTGAAAATGGTCATGATTCAGTTGTGGGCTAGTGAATGAGACACAGGGAGAGAATGTGTTAAAATTAACAGGAGAATTTGAATCCTTTCTTTCTTTTCTGTTTATGCATAGTCATTTCAATGGTGTTGTTTTTTTCCTGCGGAAATTTGGAAAAGGTTTCTGGGGTAGTTATGAAATACATGGAATGTCTCATAGATATCAACTGAAGAGGAAGATATCCTATGTTAAATTGCAAGGTTCCATCTATAATGAAAAAATGAGGTGAATCTTCAAATAGGTGCATGATTGGAAATGCAGTGAGAGAAAGTTACGAAACAAAGTATGGGACGTAGATTTCCTTCAAGCAAGTTATCTATTAGCTTGTTTAAAAGAAGTAATATCATACATATTTTTTATACAAATAATAGAGACAGGAATGCATTATTTCTATGATTTTATGGTTTCCTGTGGAAAGGCGGCCTAATATGTGAATTTGGAAACAAAGGAGGGAAGATATATCCTACAGCTGTTCCTCTCCTTATCAGATTGCATCATCTGCATAGCCTGCAGGAGGACAGGGTGATTCTTGGACAAATTCATAAAAGTACTTGATAGGGAAATGTGAACTACGGTAACATTTGAGGTGGGTTATAGTGGTGTGATGAGTGGGTGATGCATTGGTGGTTTTGGGTCCTGCTGCTTTATCATCCACAACAGCAAGCAGGACTTGAGACTCGTAACTCATCTTTGGCTATGATTCCTCACTAACAGATTGCTTGCATTTCTCATCTTTTAGGAAGCAGAAAGGGGATCCAGACAGGTCACACCAGAATCTGCTTCCTTATTGTTTGCCGGTTATTTCTTTCCTCCAATCTGAGGAGGATGAAGCCGGAGGATGAAGGTTATGGTCTCACCTATTTCCTGCCTGACTACTTGTATGGGTTTCCTCAGTGAATGTTGTACTTATCCTCTTCCATGGAATGTATTGTGATATTTTGCTAAGTTTATGCATGTAGTTGACGACTCACTATTCACTGCTTCAGATCTTGTTTCAGGTGGTGTCAGTTGTTGCAATTAGTAGTTATGGTGGTTATTTGAACTGTCATAATGATGTAAGAGGTTGAGTGATATGAACTATATTTTGGTGATTCTTTTTCTATTTTTGACAATAAAATCCTGATGAGTCTTGCACTAAATTTTCATTTCATATGAAAAAATTTTCTGAATGCAATTTTATATCCTCATGGTAATGGTAATTTTCTTCAAAAGTGAACGCTGGGAGTGATCAATTGTGAGCACTCTGGACTCATTGCCAAAAGCAGTCCATTTGAAGCTGTATTTGACAATCATGAGTCCCTTGGACCAGTGAAATCTTGGATGAGAAAGCCTGCATTTGAGCTTCTTTCTGGCTTCTGTCATGGTTCAATAAGGTTTTTTTTTTTTTTACATAACTATAAATACCTTGGGTTCTTTCTAGTGCTGAATTCATGTTATGGAGAAATATGTTTGTCAGAAGATTCCAAAGTTGCTAGAACTACTAGAACATCACAAAATCCATGAAGCTTTTCAAGTTGCTTCTCTGTTACTAAATAACTTTGATGATTCTATCTGCAAGACTCTGGCTTTTTCCTTCTTCTATACACAAGTGATGATCCTTTTTGAATTATATAGATCATCATGAATTGGAGACATTTTTATGCCTTGCCCCTTCGTTTTCGATGCTAATGGGAGTGCATCTTTCCTAGCGTGCGAAAACCTACCAAAAGTTGCTGCTGAGTCTTCGAATGGAAAGGTAGAGATTAATGTAAAACATTTTGGCTAGATAAAAACCAGGAAGTTTGTTGCAAGTAGTTGCATGCTCAGAGCAGCTCATTTATCTGGGCGTAGATTTGGGTTGGGCTGGGGTTTGTCCCTTAGATAGGAAATGGAATGATGAAAAACTCAAAGCTAGGAAAATGCTGTGATATTGGTCTGCACTTGAAGAAGTCTTACCCTTTTATCTCCATTGTTCAGAGGAACTTATTCTGAACTCTGTTAAGAATGACCTGAGAGGCATGAAACAGATGATTCAATCAATTCTTTTCTAAAAGTTCAGGTAAAAGTCTCCTCTTACAATGATGAACAATGGATGGAACGAGGAGCCAGACTTGGATGCGGAGCTGGAGATGGAGGCAGAGATGTATGCCGGGCCAGAACCTCCAACCCAGTGGGATGCCTACCATCAACAAGAAGCAACTTTAACCCAGACCAAAGGTTGGTGTGCAGTTTTGTTGGATTGGTTTAGATGTACTTTGTTGCTCAAGGTTAGTTCCTGATAGTAAACTCATCTTTGGATGTATTGCTTCACCCTTAAGGCAGCTTTTTTCTGAAGTCATTAAGAAGAGGAGAACTAGAATGGGATTTCTTGTGCAAATTAAACTTAATATTTGTTTTCTTTTTTTAAGTTTTGCCATTTTACCCAATATCCATGAGGTAATGCTTGGAGCACTTCCCTCCTTGGAAGTAGCATTTTCCTCCATTAGCCTACAGCATATGCATGTACAAATGTTTCATCCAAGTGCAAATGAAATGAGAAGAAAATAAAATCTCATGTTCACCTTTGAGTAAGTTCACTTATAGTTAATATTTTTTGCAGCTGCAGAACCATCTGACTCTGTCCCTCTTGCAAGTCTGCTGGGTGATGATGGAAGGAAGGATGCTGATAGGAGGAATGGGCCAAATTCTGAGAATGTGGAGGAGAGCCAAGTATTTGACTCCTTTCCCCTGGAGCAGTTGACTGGACCTCGAAAGAGGGATTTCCAAGATGTCCTGCATCTTTCCGACTTGGATTTCAGTGAGACTTTAACACTTTCTTGCAGGATTGAATATTTTGGCTCACACTTGGTTATATTTGGTGTCTCAAAGCTTTTATGTGACCAAATTGCTAGGATTCAGCCAAACATAATCCTATGGGTCATTATTATGAAACTTAATACCATGAAGTTTCAAGCATGTCTTATACCATTCATGTTTAGGAAGAACCTTACATTGTTGTGATGCTCATAGCATCCAAATTTTTTTAAATATATGTTTTTATTTATTTATTCTCCTCATTCATACATTTCTTGGAGGTGTGCCTTTGCTCTTGTGCCCCTTGAGGTCTTGCTCATGTTGGATCAGTTTTCTCCTGCCTTTTTTCTCGCATTTTGTTTGCATTTTCATGTTGTGAATCTTTCAATCCTCTGCCAGGTGTTTCACAGCCTGCTAAGAGGCCTAAAATGGGGTGTGAAAAGGCACAGAGTGACCAAGTGGAAGATGAGTATGCAGAGGTGATTGCCAAGATCCGTGCCCAGCGGAGTGCCGGCGGGAAGCAAGAATTCTTCACCTCACGGTATTCATATTCAACTCTGATTCATAACGGATACAATCTCAGGACTTTTGCAGGCAGTTCATTGAAAAAGGAGACCATACCCTATCTATTGATGTATGGGTTAATACTATGGCATATAAACAGACAATCTTCAGTATTGTTTGGCACCAGCCATGTTGCATTGTGCTCTTACAAATTCCTCTTCCTATTGGAAAGCACTTGAATATAAAATTAATTGGACTACATTGAAGGTTAATAGAACATTGTCAGACAATTTGTTAAAGCAGTTACTTGTTGTGGCTCACTTTCAGTATTTGTTGGCACACCAATTTTTTCCCTTTGTTGCCAGACTTGAATCAGCTACCCTTGGCTTGGGCCTTTGGGAATAGATATAGCTGTATTTAATTTCATATCTGTCGTGAGTGTTCATTTGAGCATTAATGTATTGTATCAAAAGTAATTGACTCAATGCTTTGTAGCCAACTGCTTTCTTTGGTATTGTATAACTTGTCAAAGTCATAAGATCCCAAGGTGAAGATGATGTCCTCTCAAGGTGGCATTAATTTTAGAGTACCAAATAGTAATCTCTTGCTGTCCACATTCAAAAAGCTCATATATTTAAAAGTATGTTCCACCTGTTTTGGATCTCATCCATCCTTTGTATGACCTCACATCTACTAGGTGATACTTGAGTTGTAAGTATATCATGAAACTACTGCCCTCCTTCCCAAGTTCAAGGCTGATAGAGATTCAGGACTGCTTGATCATGCAGTGATGAGTGCAATCTGCTAAGTGGTACCTTGGAAATTAGAACAACATGGGTGGGAGAGCCAAGTGCTCTTTAGGCCCTAATGGTGTGAAAGACTTTGAAAGCAGATAAGCATTACAATTTGTGTATGGGTTGGCAGGATTGGAAATATTAAATAATAAGAAATAAAATTTAAAAAAATTTATATTCAATGAGAGTTTGGCTGTTTTTTGGCTGTATGATCATGGAAAGAAAAGTGGTAAAATCTTAATGTTTTATTTGAATGTTTGCGTCAGGCTTCCAGGAGTACGGAAGGAGCGGGAGGCCATGATTTTCCGTCACGTGCCTCAGTGTCCGTTTGTGAGCGTGACGGCTGCAGATGGGACTCGGGTCTACCTTCGACTGAGAAACGATGAGCCCCATGAACTGGTTTGTTTTTTTTGGAGTTCAACAGTCTTTGCTCAGTTTATCATCCTCTATTGCATCCAACTGCAAAACATTAATTCTGATAAATTTTCCAATTGTAAACAACATCATGCATTATTAGCTTTAAAAAATTGGCCTGATGGAGTTGGTATGGCTCTCTCCATTCATTCTCTGAAGCATGTGGAGTAAATAGTGACTTTTTTTTAGGTGGAGGTGAAGCCACAGCATCGAACCAATCTCCTTGGAACTCCCTTTATTGTCCTTCAGCAGCAGGCCGAACAAGAGGTATGCCCAGTATAATCTAGAAGTATCCTTTTAAGATGAGAATTAAAAAAAAGGGTGTTTGACATAATTTGCATTAGTTCTTTTTCAGCTCGAGCGCAATAATTTTATTTTCCTTCTTAATGTCTATGGTGAGCTTTTGCAATGGAATGCTGACTATTTAGGGAATTTGGTTCTGTGTGAAATATTATGTACTGTCTTGTTTAAGAGTCACTGATGCACTTTTCAGAATTGTCAATGCTGTAAATGTTCTAAGAATTGTTCCACAGAAAATGTTCAGCCAGATGTTTTGATGCCTAGTGCACAATGCCCTTCTCACTGAGTCCCCTACAACTGCACACTATTTTTTCCTTTGTGTGAACTCGCTCCTTGAAGTTAGAACAAAGTATCTAGGTTTTGAGCAGCAGTGCCAACAGGTCATTTCTGATTGCATGTCATCTTTCAGTTGCCATTTGGCACTTGAGTGCTGGAAAGACTCAGAAATATGACTGCATTAGGTTTTTTCTTTGACTCTGAGGTGATTGGAGTGCTATCACAAACTGTAGTTTTGGGACTGTCTTCACAGCAGTATGGAGCATTTGTGGTAGAGATGGTCCACGTGCTGCAGCTCTCCTTGCCGTACCATGCTGGGTCTGTACTTTTTTAGTGCTGAGTGAAATTCAGAGCTCAACTCTGCTTTCCTTGCCATTTCTCTTCAAACTGAAGCATCAAATGGCAGCCTGCAAGCCATTTTCAAACAACAGATAACATGTAGGCAGGGTTTGCTTTGGTGTCATCAGCACCCAAGGGAATCCTTCCATTCTGGCTGGAAGGGGGCTCACAGAAAGGAAATATGAATTGCTGTTGCAGGAGACTATTTGGAAAGACTGCTTGTGGACCAGGTATTGAGATTCTGATTGAAATTTTCTCCAGTGTCAGTTACCCTGGTGGTTACCATTAACTACCTGGAGCCATAATAGCAACCCTTGTACTAAGTCACCCCAAGCATAGAAATCAAATGACATTCAGAATTTAAAAGCTGGAAACACTTGCATATACCTTCTTGATGTGGATTTCTCTGCAGAGATCGACTCGTGCATCCGGAAGCGAATCCGTGGAACCGTCCGAGGCGGAGGAAGCGGAACCTCACGCCTCGACCTGGGTGGAACGCTTTCAGCCGCAGACCTACCTGGAACTGCTAAGTGATGAGGTGCACATGCAGATCTCTTCTATGTGAATGAATGGGGCTAGACCAGTGACCACCTCCGGCCAGATACGGCATCGTACCTGTCGGCCGGGTGCCGATGCCGATTGTGACGCGTAGATGAAGGGCGAAGAACCATGATATTAAGTCTTTTTTAAGTGGGCCTATTAGGAAATCATGTTATGCTTTCTTTTGACATGATGATGGCTGTCTTGAAAGCAGGTTTTTATTCTTGAACAATCATTAATACATTGATGCATCATGGGGGGAGGTTTCAGTCATCTTGTAACTATCAGGTAGAGGCTTGCCTTCCATTGTCTCTTGTCTGTGATGAAGGTGGGGGAGTTTACCCATTGCACTGGGAAATAAAGCCTTTGATGGCAATTGTTGTTAGTGACAACATTCCATCAAATAAAGCAGTGTGACAGGTCTGCATTTTTTATATTGCCATTGAGCCACAGTCATGGGTTTCTTTCTTCTTTGGGGTAGTTCATAGGGCATTGACACCTGCAGCTTGCAAACCTGCCATTGCAATTGCTGCAGCCATATTAATGATAAATGTTTAGTAGTGACTGTAATGGGGTTCTATCTCAATTCTCTGTTCTTGATTGTGTGTTTTGCACAGGGAACAAATCGGATTCTTCTCCAGTGGTTGAAACTCTGGGACAAGATTGTGTTCAAGAAAGAGAAGAAGAAGCCCCTCCAGCATGAGAATCACAAAGCCAAACCTTGTGAGTAATTTCACCTCTCTCTCTCTCTCTGCTTTACTTGAAGGGGTGAGTGGAATAGGGGAATATCCCACCAAGCAATGGCTTTTGAGACAGTGCCATCACTGGACACATGTATCACATGAAGCTTATATTTGAATGGTGATTGGCCCTTTCTCCCTCAGCGACGTTTACAGGTGGATTGAAACTTGACGACTGGGATGGGTTCGAGTTGTATGAGGAGCGAAGGAAGTACCTCTGATGGTTCAATAAAATGCATTGAATTTCTTTGTCAAGTCGCACATGTACAGTTGGCTTGCAAAAGAAAAAGTTAATTTACTTCCAAGAATCAACCTAGTTGTAAATATTGGCTCCCCTTGATAGTGTTTCTTCTGGTTTAAACACACTGGTTTTGTTTTGTGCAGTGGAACAAGCCATCGATGATCTGACGAGGAAAAATATGCATTTCTCACATTCTTCACTGCAGCTGGAATTCAGCCTCTTTGTAGCAGAGTTTTGGCTCCTTTGCACGAATACTATTATTCCTCTATCGTTATACGATATGACGAAAACAGTGAATCCTTGCAGTCCTGAAAAATGTCAAAATCGCCATGTTGCCCTTCGTCCGGAATGGAAACTGATGAAACTAAACTGCTACTATAATGTGAGGAACAGACAAAGCGGCAAAGACGTAAAATTCCATCCTCTGTGATGTAAGGGTGCAGTGGGACCTGCCTCCTCCCCGATCATTCCAGCAGTTCGTCTTATTCTTTGGCATGTTTGTCGTCCGTTCCTTGAAATGCAGAATTTGCTCTGTCGATTTGTTGGGTGGCTTGGTGGCGTGCGGCTTCAAGGATGTCCTTCGAATCCAGCAGCGGGGCGTTATACTTTGTCCAACAAGTAAATGCTGAACCTGCAAGAATCCGAACATAAGTGGTTTGAGGCGTATGCCCAAAGCCAATGGCTGCGTGTTCGTTAACCGTAGTGTGATACCTGGCTCTTGACTGATCTGTATAATTGAAAGGCAAAGTGATCTATCTGAAGAAAAAAAAAATTTCCGAAAAAATGTGTTGTTGATTTTGTGCTCATAGGACCTTGTTCATTTCATAGAAAATAATAGTTTCTTGGAATTAAGTAAAGGATCAAGTGATCTATCGATGCATACCACTTTTTCTCGCTTTTAACATGACGGTCACTGGAATATTCACTCATTCCGTGTGGAGCTTCAGTAAATATTTTTTTGCAGATAGACCAATTTGCCTTTCAGCCCTTCAATTATAGCCAACAATTTGTCAGTTTTTTTTTTTTGGTGTTCCTACTGGAGGCCTGCGCGAATGGATTATTCCAAACTCCATCGCCATCAGAGCTTAATTAGAGACCCGCGGATCGCGTTTGGCCGATCGGGTTTGTGGATTTTCTGAGCTAGTGCCAACAGGTCATTTCTGATTGCATGTCATCTTTCAGTTGCCATTTGGCACTTGAGTGCTGGAAAGACTCAGAAATATGACTGCATTAGGTTTTTTCTTTGACTCTGAGGTGATTGGAGTGCTACCACAAACTGTAGTTTTGGGACTGTCTTCACAGCAGTATGGACCATTTGTGGTAGAGATGGTCCACGTGCTGCAGCTCTCCTTGCCGTACCAAGCTGGGTCTGTACTTTTTTAGTGCTGAGTGAAATTCAGAGCTCAACTCTGCTTTCCTTGCCATTTCTCTTCGATCTGAAGCATCAAATGGCAGCCTGCAAGCCATTTTCAAACAACAGATGACATGCAAGCAGGGTTTGCTTTGGTGTCATCAGCACCCAAGGGAATCCTTCCATTCTGGCTGGAAGGGGGCTCACAGAAAGGAAATATGAATTGCTGTTGCAGGAGACTATTGGGAAAGACTGCTTGTGGACTAGGTATCGAGATTCTGATTGAAATTTTCTCCAGTGTCAGTTACCCTGGTGGTTACCATTAACTACCTGGAGCCATAATAGCAACCCTTGTACTAAGTCACCCCAAGCATAGAAATCAAATGACATTCAGAATTTAAAAGCTGGAAACACTTGCATATACCTTCTTGATGTGGATTTCTCTGCAGAGATCGACTCGTGCGTCCGGAAGCGAATCCGTGGAACCGTCTGAGGCGGAGGAAGTGGAACCTCACGCCTCGACCTGGGTGGAACGCTTTCAGCCGCAGACCTACCTGGAACTGCTAAGTGATGAGGTGCACATGCAGATCTCTTCTATGCGAATGAATGGGGCTAGACCAGTGACCACCTCCGGCCAGATACGGCATCGTACCTATCGGCCGGGTGCCGATGCCGATTGTGACGCGTAGATGAAGGGCGAAGAACCATGATATTAAGTCTTTTTTAAGTAGGCCTATTAGGAAATCATGTTATATTTTCTTTTGACATGATGATGGCTGTCTTGAAAGCAGGTTTTTATTCTTGAACAATCATTAATGCATTGATGCATCATGGGGGGAGGTTTCAGTCATCTTGTAACTATCAGGTAGAGGCTTGACTTCCATTGTCTCTTGTCTGTGATGAAGGTGGGGGAGTTTACCCATTGCACTGGGAAATAAAGCCTTAGATGGCAATGGATGTTAGTGACAACATTCCATCAAATAAAGCAGTGTGACAGGTCTGCATTTTTTATATTGCCATTGAGCCGCAGTCATGGGTTTCTTTCTTCTTTGGGCTAGTTCATAGGGCATTGACGCCTGCCATTGCAATTGCTGCAGCCATATTAATGATAAATGTTTAATAGTGACTGTAACGGGGTTCTATCTCGATTCTCCGTTCTTGATTGTGTGTTTTGCACAGGGAACAAATCGGATTCTTCTCCAGTGGTTGAAACTCTGGGACAAGATTGTGTTCAAGAAAGAGAAGAAGAAGCCCCTCCAGCATGAGAATCACAAAGCCAAACCTTGTGAGTAATTTCACCTCTCTCTCTCTCTCTCTCTCTCTCTCTCTCTGCTTTAATTGAAGGGGTGAGTGGAATTGAGGAATATCCCAAGCAATGGCTTTTGAGACAGTGCCATCATTGGACACATGTATTACATGAAGCTTATATTTGAATGGTGATTGGCCCTTTCTCCCTCAGAGACATTTACAGGTGTATTGAAACTTGACGACTGGGATGGGTTCGAGTTGTACGAGCAGCGAAGGGAAGTACCTCTGATGGTTAAATAAAATGCATTGAATTTCTTTGTCAAGTCTCACATGTACAGTTGGCTTGCAAAAGAAAAGGTTAAGCTACTTCCAAGAATCAACCTAGTTGTAAATATTGGCTCCCCTTGATAGTATTTCTTCTGGTTTAAACACACTGGTTGGTGGCGTTTTGTGCAGTAGAACAAGCCATCGATGATCTGGCGAGGAAAAATATGCATTTCTCACATTCTTTACTGCAGCTCGAATTCAGCCTCTTTGAATGTAGCAGAGTTTTGGCTCCTTTGCACGAGTACTATTGTTCCTCTAATTATCGTTATACGATATGACGAAAGCAGTGAATCCTTGCAGTCCTGAAAAATGTCAAAATCGCCATGTTGCCCTTCGTCCGGAATGGAAGCTGCGATGAAACGAAATTGTTACTATAATGTGAGGAGCAGATATAACGGAGAAAGACGTAAAATTCCATCCTCTGTGATGTAAGGGTGCAGTGGGACCTGCCTCCTCCGCGATCATATCCTCGGTTCGTCTTATTCTTTGGGATGTTTGTCGGCCGTTCCTTGAAGTGCAGAATTTGCTCTGTCGATCGCGGTCGATTTGTTTTTTGGTTTTTTGGTTTTTTGATTGGCTTTGGTGGCTTGGTGACTTCAAGAATGTCATTCGAATCCAGCAGCGGGGCGTTATACCTTGTCCAACAAGTAAATGCTGAACCTGCAAGAATCCGAACATGAGTGGTTTGAGGCGTATGCCCAAAGCCAATGGCTGCGTGTTCGTTGACCTTATTAGTGTGATACATGGCTCTTGACTGATCTGTATAATTGAAAGGCAAAGTGATCTATCTGAAAAAAATATCCGAAAAAATGTGCTGTTGATTTTGTGCTTATAGGACCTTGTTCATTTCATAGAAAATAATAGTTTTTTTTTTGGAATTAAGTAAAGGATCAAGTGATCTATCGATGCATACCACTTTTTCTCGCTTTTAACATGATGGTCACTGGAATATTCACTCATTCCGTGTGGAGCTTCAGTAAATATTTTTTTGCAGATAGACCACTTTGCCTTTCAGCCCTTCAATTATAGCCAACAATTTGTCAGTTTTTTTTTTTTTTTGGTGTTCCTACTGGAGGCCTGCGCGAATGGATTATTCCAAACTCCATCGCCATCAGAGCTTAATTAGAGACCCGCGGATCGCGTTTGGCCGATCGGGTTTGTGGATTTTCTGAGCTTCAGAACTCGAGGTCGCAGGCTTTCATCCGACCGGGAACTCGGTTGCCAACTGAGCTGTTCGCCTGATCGGGTGGGTCCAATCGAGCCGATCTGTGTCCCGTGTAGATCTGAGCTGCGGTTTTTAAGGTCTGTGTTGTCGAAAGGGGTCCTGCATTTTTTCATTCTATGCCCTTGGGGTGATCCGAATCGAACGGCGAGTCTCATATGAATGCCATTGGACGGAATTTGCCAAATATATGCGCATAGGTAAACTGCGGATCTTTGATGGTGGAAATCATCCCCGATTCTTCATCCAATTTCTGGGCGCTTGAAATTCGAACATGACTCGCTCGAAGGCTATGGAATAAAACTCGAGGAAAGTTTTATTGTTGGAATTGGGGTTCCTCCGATGACGGAATGCATGCCCCTTTATTTATCAAAGGCCTTGCTGTTACAAATGTTCGAGATTGTGTCTCCTTAGAATGATACGAATCAATAAATATTGTCATGGGGGAAATCGGGGGCCCATGATGACTCGCTTCCCTTTCTTGGACCCATTCCTATGTTGGAGCAAACCAACGTGATACCTGTCCCTGGAAAACGATATCGCATATCTGACGTTTGTCGTTATTTAGTCCACGTGTGCGTTTCGCCATTTATCTCTCGAGTTACGGTTCTATGTGCTCTTTTTAGTATCTGTGGTGATGTACGTCAAATAATGAACACGCGCAATTGCCCTCTTCGATTTTTCCTCATGTCCGTTGTTCTTTTGCAGTCAAGAAGATTCCATTCGGGAAGGCCGGAAAGCCAAAGGAGGATATTTTGAAAGATGCAGTGGACGAGGAGGGGCGACCGAAGCAACTGGTGGCCCTCCTCGCCGGAGCACCCGGGCTGGGCAAGACGACCCTCGCGCACGTGATCGCGCGCCACGCGGGCTACCACGTGGTCGAGATGAACGCCTCCGACGACCGCAGCCCGGCGCACTTCGCGGAGACGTTGGAGCGGGCGACGCAGATGCAGAGCGTGCTCGGCGCGTCTCGCCGGCCGAACTGCCTCGTCGTCGACGAGATCGACGGGGCCCCGCAGGTGTCCGTCGACCTCCTGGTGGACTTTGTCCTCGGGAAGGGTCTGAAGGGGGAGGGTGGGAAGGGGCGGAAGGGAAAGGCGCGCGCGGTGGTGCAGCAGAGGCCCATCGTCTGCATCTGCAACGACCTCTACGTCCCTGCCTTGAGGTTGCTCAGGCAGCATGCCTTGGTTCTCCAATTCCCGCCCACTCTCCCTGCCAGGTATTCTTTCGATCATCTCATTATTTTCTTAGGAATTTTACGTCTGGTTCGCACGTCAATTACCCTTTAGTTCCTTCGCCCTGGGTATGAATCTGACTTAGTCTGACTAAGAGTGTCCATTTGACGAGAATACATTTATTTATACAGGCTGGCCCAGCGAATGCAGGAGATAGCCAGGACACAGCAGATGGAGGCAGACCTCACCGCCCTGCTCACCCTGTGCGAGAAGGCCGAGAACGACATCCGCTCGTGCATCACCACCCTGGAGTTCCTCTCCCGGCACCTGCGACGGAGGCTCCTCCGTCCGGGGGACGTCCACGGTCTCAACGTCGGTCGCAAGGACTTCCACAAGAGCCTCTTTGGGGTCTGGCACGACATATTCCACGTCCCCCGAGCCAACAAGTTCGTGTTCCCTCTTTCCTTTTTTGAGTTGCTTCCAATTAGTGAATGTTTCAAATAGAGATGCAACGATATTGAATTTTGGCCGATATCCGATATACCGATAATTCCGATATCGGAAAAGAACCGATGCCGATACCGATATCTATATATACATTTATATTTGCACATTCAGGGTAGATTTTGAACAGTGAACTATCTGACTTGTCTGTCTAAATTGGCAGGATTCAGCTGGCTTGAAATAGGCATCGGGCTACAAGGAAGTACATCCGAAGGTTTCGTTAGTGTATCTCGTATCGTGGAGAAGAA